GGGGAGGGACATACAAAGCAACAAAGAAATCATCTTATAAAACATTACTGTAACTAAAGGTGGCCCTTTAAAATTTATTGTAAATAAAAATGCATTTCACTTTTCTTACGTAATATAATTGAATCTTAAGTGATTTTTTTAAATGTGTCATTATAAAACTAGGACTCAGACTACACATAAAATTTTTCATCATTTATTTCAAAATAGTGGTTAGATCATTTTCTAACAGACACAAAGTCCTGTTTTGTAGTTTCTTCCATCTGTTTCTGGTAGCTTCAGTTATAGATTACTGGCTACACTCCGAACTCTCTCAGAAGGTACCTCGTCTGCTGCCACACACAGCACAGCACAATCGAGTCTCCAGTAACACTGAATGCCCAAGGAAGAAAGGTTTAAATATTTGTGTATGACCACAAACACTGTCCACACTCAAAAATACTGCAAGAGATAAACTATTTTTACCTCTCAGTGTAAGTATAAAGGACTTATTTAACTTTAAATTTACATTTAGAATTTCTGTCTTAGCCTACTGGGAGAGTGGGAGAATAATTTTAATTATCTGATAATGAGAACATAAGGTAAAAAGCATTTTCAGATGTAATTTCCCACTGGAGGGAAAAACCATGGATTTCTATTTAACAGTGTGCTGGTATTTTTAGAAGCCAAAAGTAAATGAAATGGTAAAGGTAATTAATCTGTGTGATGCGTTATTAAATCTTTAGGAATAATTAAAATTCTTTGGAGACAAAAAAAAAACTGGGGTGGAAAAGTGATTTCAAAAGAAGCCATGGAGTCACATCACCTACTCTCCAAGGTAAATTATGTTAACTCCGCAGCTTCCCTGTATATAAAATGCAGTTACTCTAAACCTGCCAAATCCTGTGGTGGGGAATAGTTAAAATGTATTTTAGTGTTACTTATTATTTTGTTTTAAAAATTTCTGATGGGAATAACCTATTGGATACATATTTGCATAATATCTTTCCATAATATCTTTCCATGCCAAACCCTGTGGTGGGGATTAGTTAAAATAGAATTTTAATGTAACTTATTAGTTTGATTTAAAATTTTCTGATGAGAGGCTGGGAGCTGGTGGCTCACGCCTGTAATACTAGCTACTCAGGAGGCTGAGATCTGAGGATCGAGGTTCAAAGCCAGCCCCGGCAGGAAAGTCCGTGACACTCTTATCTCCAATAAACCACCAGAAAAACTGGAAAGTGGAGCTGTAGCTCAAGTTGTAGAATGCTAGCCTTGAGCTGAAGTGCTGAGGGACAGTGTTCAGGCCCAGAGTTCAAGCCCCATACCGACAAAGAAAAAATTCTGATGAGAATAACCTATTGGATACATATTTGCATAGTATTTTTCTATAATATCTTTCCATCTGTTGTATAATAAACAATTAATTGATGCTAATGCCTATAGTCCTAGCTACTTAGAAGGCTGAGATCTGGGAACTGCTATTCAAGCCAGCCTCAACAAGAAAGCCCATGAGACTCTTATTTTCAATTAATCAGCAAAAAGCTACAAATGGCAGTATGGCTCAAGTGGTAGAGAACTAGCTTTGGGCACAAAGCTCAGGAACAGTGCCTAGGCTCTAAGTTCAAGCTCAAGGACTGGCACACACACAAAAACATACTTTTATTGAAGACCTTGTCTTAAATGCAGAATCAATTTGATCTAATTGCTGAAATGAGGTTGAGAAATTCAACAGTTACCTGTAGGAATCTCTGTTGCTGATGGTGTCATGGCCTGAATCTTCTTGCTCATCCCCTGCCACATTGAAACAGACTCGTTTGCTGTTTCTTTCTCCTTTCTCATTGTCGCTGTCTGTTGGTACTACACATTCTGAGGTCTTACGCTCCAATTTAGGAGAATATGTTATTGAAGACAGAAGACTGAAATGTGATATTACAAAAATAAGTACACATTTTCAAATTCACTGCCACAGATAGCTACCTTATTTATTTCATATGAGGAGCTTACAAACATTTCTACAATGTTTCCAAGTCTCACATCATTTATTCTCTTGTGTAAAAAAACTTGACAAAGAAAGTTTGTTATTTTTATAGCCAGCCTCTGGTGGCTTACATCTGTCATCCTACTAGCAATGGGGCTGAGATCAGAGGATGGCAGTTCAAAGCCAACCCCAGCAGAAAAGTGAAACTTTTATCTCCATTTAACTAGCACAAAGCCTGAAGTGGAAGTGTGGCTCTAGCCTTGAGTGAAAGAAAACATGCAAGAGCATGAGGCTCAGAGTTCAACTTCCAGTTCCAGCACCAAAGAAAGAAAGAAAGAAAGAAGGAAAGAAAGAAAGAAAGAAAGAAAGAGAAAGAAAGAAAGAAAGAAAGAAAGAAAGAAAGAAAGAAAGAAAGAAAGAAAGAAAGAAAGAAAGAAAGAAGAAAGAAAGAAAAAAGGACTGGTCAAAGATGATTCCTAATTTTTGTTCAGAATGAGTAACAGAAATGAGTAGTCAGAAATTCAATAGTACTTAAACCCACTGATAGCCTTGTATTTAGGACAAAGTTATGGTAGTTTCATGGCAATCATAACAAGGCTGTACCAGGAATGAAATGTGAGCAGTATACGCTCATAGCTAGCAGCTGTCCTTTCTGTCCACCTCACCATTACACCTCTACCACAGAGGACACTTTAAAGTATACCCAAATATTAAAAGCAAATGTTCAAAGTGCTTCAGGCTCCCTGCAGGCTCAGCCTTAAATGTTAGAAACCCACAGACCCCTGCTTTTTGACAGAGAATTTCTTATTGTCAATCTTCTCGCTGCACACACAAGCAGAATTCCTGGCCTTACTGACTGCAAGAGGCTGAAGCAGAGTCACATCAGCATGAGGACAGGAAAAAGCAAGGGTCACCCCAAACACACTGGAAATCCAGTCAGAATGAAAGATGCCCGATCTGCCCAATTTAGCTCAATGCCACCTTAAGACTGAACTGCTGAGGTAGTTTTTGAGTAACTATTGATTCTACTACTCCAAGGCTTAAATGGGTAGCTGTACATTGCTGGTATTCCAAAAGTCTAACTCAAAATCAGGCAAAAATTATCTGGGTTCAGGTGGCTCACAACTGTAATCATGGGCTACTCAAGGGGCTAAGATCTGGAGATCACAATTTGAAGCCAGCCTGGGCAGGAAAGTCTTATTTCCAATTAACCACAAAAAGCCGAAGGAAAGTCACTCAAGTGGTAAGAGTGCCAGCCTTGAGCAAATACACTAAAGGACAATTCCCAGGTCCTAAATTCAGGCCCCAATATTGGAAAGTATGCACATGCATACATGCATGCGCATGCACACGCGCGTGCGCGCACACACACACACACACACACAAAAGACTAAAAGAAAAGAAAGTAAAAGAAAAGAACTAGGCAAATCTAAAGCAGACTACAAAACTTGGGAGATATATTAAACTCTATTTAAGCCAAGAGCCCATGTAAACTTTTCAAACCAACAATTATCTTCTCCTGTACTAAATACCTATGGTGTACGGTTCCAACCACTGACACATACTTTTACACTCATTTCCCATAGCAATGTAATGATTTCTTTTTTTATTTTTAAGGTTAAAAAGCAGCTTATATCTCTTAAATATCCCTGACCATCAAACCCTGTGCTGAACATTGAATAGATACTTGTTAAGTAATTTCACTCTTAAACACATTTATTGTACCATGTGTTGTCCTTGGAACTATGAATATAGTACTTTACAAAGCACACAAAAGTCTCAGAATTCATGAAGCATAAATTCCACTGGGAGAAGACAAACAACAAACAACTAAACTTTACAGTATATTAGATGGTAATAGATGTAAAAAGTAAAAGTAAAAGGGGGGAAAAAAGGACAGGAAGAGGGCTGGGCCTGGGATGTGGCTCATTGGTAGAACTCTGGCCCAACATGTATAAGGCCCCCAGCACCAAAAAGGAAAATACACAAAAAAAACCCAAAAACCCACAGACTACAATTTCAAATAGTTAAGGCAGGAGATGTCTCTCTGTGAGGTGACGTTTGAATAATATTAGAATTTTTTAGTTATAGACATCAGTGAAAATTAAAGAAGCTATGTTACATTGCTCTAGGCTCTGTGATCATCTCCAATAACCGAAAACTATGAATTATTTGAAACACAGTTTTTCTATCTAGAAAAAAATACTTTCATGGCTTGTAAGCTAGATTTTAATATTTATTCACTCTTTATACCCAAAAGATTAAAACATTAGGTTAACTCCAATTACCCAAGATCCATACTGCACAGGCAGATGAACTCTGAATACAATGAAGAAAGATACACAGGCATTCTATTTATGCAAGAAGTCCTTGGTGCTTATATATTTTTAAATGAGAACATTTACATAGTTTGTTCAGAGTTACAAGTATTACATTCACTTATTTTCTTCTCATTTTAAACAGATCCAGTCATGCTTGCACTGACCCTAAGGGAACAAGGTTTTAGGTTTACAAACAAATGATAGGGAACCTTGTTATCCACACCACGCTCTTATATGAAATCTCTAGACCAGAAAACATCAAGGCATGTAATGTGCCTTGTGCATGCCAAAGTATTCTCTTTTGCTTTTGCTCACATACAATATTCAGCTACCTATAATTAATACATTAATTAAAATTCAGATCAACACTCCATTCCATATCAATTTCCACTCTATTGTTGCTGGTTAGTATTTCTGAGCACAGTATATTCTATCTACTGTATATTTTTCGATATAGCATCATTATCATAGCTAACAACCATTGAAATCCTTCACATTACTGAATAGGTGTAAGTTCAACATATTTAATAGTGAGTAATTTATTATAATAATTATACTAATTTAATAATTATATAATTATTAGTATTCCCATTTATGAAGTAGGGTAAGGGGACATACTGTTACATACATTTAGAAAATTAAGCAGACCCTCCTTGGTTCCTTTTGTATTTGCATATAGAGAGAGATTTATAATTGTAGTTATAAGAATAGATATCACTTAAATACTGGAGAGATTAAGGGGGGTGTCGCTGTGGTACAATCCTGTGAGGTATTCCTCTAACCTTCAAACATAGGCATGGCCTATGGTGAGTGAACATTATGGGGGTCATTTCTAGGGAAAAACCTCTACATAAGTGCAAAGATTGTCCTAGTCCCTTCTCATATTTTGACAAACAGAGATGTTTCAGTTCAAAGAACACCTTCCTGCAATTCTGAGGATAATGTAGAACAGAAACCCAGTGCCCCAAAATGGGCATGGAGAATGAGCAAGAACAAAACCCTTTGTTGTGTATATTGGTGAGACTTTTACAGCTTTGTAAACAATGAGGGAGGTAAAAGCAGAAGCATAGAAACTAGATGTCTAGAGAAGACAATATTGATAACTGGAGTGGAAGAATGTCTACATGAATAGGAGGACTAGGCGAACACTTTCCACAGATCTGCCATTAGCCCGATTCTTGAGTGCCTAGGAGGCTGGACACAAACACCTTGGAAACACCAGGCAGTGCACCCTTAGGTGGCACTAAAGTTGTCCAGGAACAGAATGTGTCTAGTGAAGCTGGCACTCAATGTGATGAGTCTGGAAAGATGGACAAAAACGGAACATGTAGGAACTGGCAGGGCACAATACCACACTTGATATTACAATTGGCCCTCTGCATCATGAGTTCAATATCCATAGAATCCATCAATCTTGGATCAAAAATATACAAAAATTCCACCTGTACTGCATATGTATATTTCCTTGTCATTAGTGCCTAAATAATAAAACAATTCTTCACATAGAATATACATTTTGTTACAGATTATGTTATCTGAAGATGACTTAAGTAGTAAGTTATATGAAAGTACTATTTCATTTTATGGAAGGGAACATCCTGGGATTTGGGAATCAGAAGGGAGTCCTGGAACCAGTCTGTGGAACCAAGGGACAACTATGGTTTAACTACAGTGTGATTCTGTGTAATGCTCTTCACCAGGAACCAGCCCCATTCTCCTTTGCAGACTCGAGTGGCACATGCTGAATACAGAATGTATCTGAGAAAGAAAGGCACAATCTGGCAATTATTATGGTGGCAATAGTAAGGGAGATGGCGAACTCGGTCTAGAGTAAAAGACACGCACAGATTGTGAGAAGTGTAATCTACACAACCTGAAGTGGAATGGGGGAAGGAGGGACAGGAAAGAGAAGAAGCAAAGATGACTTCTGAACTCGGGCTTGAGGAGCTGAAGAAGTGAGAAACACTCCACTAAGTATGAAAAGCCCTGAGTGAGAAATGATCCAAACAGGCTTGAATCTAAGGAATTGGAATTCAGAACGATAAGTGCAATGCATTTGAGATATCTGTGAATCATTGCAGTGTTGCTCTCTTAATCAGATCTCAGAGGGACTGTGAAAAGGAAATAAGGAATACATGTAATAAGTGAATGCATGTAATAATATAACCTTAACCAGCACTGAAGTACCTGTGGTAGATATTGATTCTGTGTCTTCATTTTTACACTTACCAGAAAAAATGCTTAAGGAAACTTCAAATATAATTCTACCACCAATCCCACTATTCCTATTCAGAGCCCCAGGTCACTACTGATGAGTGCAACTTGCTTGTCACTAAATCCTGGAGCATCTGGTCACAGCAAATAAAGCCTGTTCCCATATCTCCTAACTTAACTGGCCCCTGGCCCTCTGCATTAGTTTCTTTCCAAGGAAAACTCACAAATCCTCTACTTGAAAATTCCATAAAATGTTTGGGATTACTCATGAATTATTTTTTCTTTTACTCATTTCTAGTATCTTCTGTCATTAACCAGGAAATAGTCTACTTAGGAGAAAAAGTACTCAGCCTCCCAAAGTGAAATAAAAAATCATAATCCTCAGTAAAGTCCACAACATGACTTTATCTCATATTACTAGACAGCAAATTCATCTCTAATTCCACATTTGAATCTGAAACTAAGTAAGAGGGTTTAGCAAACATCTATGTGTTATAAGAACTTTTTATATCTGTAGGTATTCCCAAGTGACAGCTAGCCAGACCTTAGGAGAAGACAAATTCAGCACCAGGTCCTTCATAAGAAAAATCAATTTTTGGAAAGGCAAGCAATGAAATCTTACAAGGCAATTTCTCTTAAAGCCTGGAAAAGCATCTGAGATTTACTTCTGTTGCTTGAATAATAATAATTACTACATGGTGAGAAAACTGTCTCCTAACGAGCTTTTAAATAATTCGTTAAGCTCAACTGCACTGCAGAACCTATGAATACAAAAAGCCATGGAGAATGTAGGTCCTTGAACAACTGGACTGTTTTAACATGATTACATTGTAGATTGAATTATGAGGAACAATTTTAGATTAGAATTAAATTATATGCTCTACATGGAGAAGACCAAGATTATGTCTTCAATCATTTGTTCATTTCATATCATTTTCCTAATACACATGCAGAGCTGGGAAATAGCTTTCAGAATGAGAGAAAGTTTGGCAAAAATATTTGGGTGAAAAAAATTATAATTTTCAGGAGCTTCAGCTAAAAGAAAATCCAAACTCCTTTGTGCAACTAGATATTTAAATATAAATATTTTAAACTAAGTAAACAAACCTCTGTGGTTCAAGATTTCCCTTAAAAATTTATCTAAAATACCTAAATCTAAAAAAAAAAGTCAGCAAAATAATGACATGTGGATGAAAGCTAGGCAACGTTGGGAGTGGATGCATTAAAGAATTTGTCTCTGACGCAGTTTCAGAAAGCACATCAACAACCCTGCCACTGACTAAAGAAAAGTGGAGATAATAGCTCTTGGCCTAACTGGAAATGTGAGACTGGTCTGGATGCTCTTCTAAAGTTCCTTTGAGAACTGGGCACTACAATTCAGTGCCCTATACCAAGGATTCTATACACTTCCCCAATATCTTCAGAAAAGAACAACTTTCTAAAATAGAAAGTATCCATGTCATGAAATCACATTTATTAAATAAAACAAATGCAATGACCTAAAATGTGACCTTCTCTCTCACCAGGATTCCAAGACAATTCGCAGTTATTCAATTGCTTAAAAATAGTATGTTGTCTTAGTTACCTCAGACTGTTTAGTTCATCTCTAAATGGGGAAGTTGCCATTTAACATTTTAGAATAACTAACTTTTTAAAACTAGTTCCTTAGGCATGGGAAAATGAAATTCAAATTATAAACCACTTACAAAGCTGCAAAAGTCACAATTAAATATAGATTTGAAGATAATTTTTTAAAAATATATATATAAAAAGATGCACCAATGACTTTTTTCATAACTCAGAAACTCTACATTTATTATTTACTTGTTTATTTACTGATTTATTTAATGTCAGTACTGGGGCTTGAACTCAGAGTCTCATGCTCTTTCTCGGCTTACTTGTTCAGGTTAGTGCTCTACTACTTGAGCAGTAAATTTCAAAAATATATAGAAAAAATGAGATGAACTCTACCAGTGTAGGGTCTAATGATTACAAAAGCATGGACTAAGTTCTAATCTCATTTATCTATGGAAGGATGAATGACATATGTATGTGAAACACACAGTCCATCTGTGCCAGCAAGTTAAATCAGCCACTTCATAAAGACACTACAATGAAAATAGGGTATTGATGCTTATATAATTTTCAGAAATCTATTGACTTTGGATATATTCAATAACTTCTGCTTCTTGAATGGATGATGAGCAATCATTATAAGCAGCCGTGCTGTTAATTGTTTTCAATGTTAATTTCTTTAATTTTTCCAAACCTGGAATTTGTTATTATCATCCCTCCATTTCTGAAGATGAGAAACTGAACCATCCCCAAAGCCATGCAGTTCCAAATATCCTGAGATGCCTTAATTAGATGTGAAGGACCACAAGAAAGAAACATGTGACAAATTACTCTTCAGAGCTCAGGCGATTCTTCAACCACCACACTCTTAATAAGAATCAGACTTTATCCAGTTCAGAACATGCTTGTCAACTCTCAACATCTTATCTAGGTGAAAACTTCTAAATTACTGGCCTAGCTATTAAGACCATTGCTTAATAGGCCATTAATTCAATTAGTACAGAGAACTGGTCCTGCAAATAAATACTCTTTGCATCTGCTTACTTAACAATAATGTTATGCATTTATTATTACTTTGTAAGTTCCAGAAATATCTCTTTAGTACATATACATCAAATATTATTTCCTAAACTGCACTGAAAACAAGGAAACCCCCATAGTTAGTAAACAGCAGATATTTCTCAGTGTAATTTAGCATTCTTCTCTAAAACATAATTTTATCATAATCTTCCCTGATAGTAAATGTTTAGCATATCATTTTAAGGTTCTAGAATAAAAAATATATCTCTAGGATAAGTACAAGTCTGAGAATTGAAAACCTGAATGGATTTGTCAAAAGTCATTTTCTACATCTATTTTTATTAGATACTTTTGAATATGACATAAAATACTTACTCATCTATTTGACAAACACATAACTCCACCTCTTTCAGTGCAGTATGGAGTTTTCCCAGAAGCTTCTGATAGATATCTTGTGTTTCCAAATCTTCTTCTTTCAACAAATACCGGAGACCATGGCCTCCTTGTTGTCCCAGAGATAGACCAGAAGGTGCTGCCATGGTAGTAATTGTGTGCTGAATGTACACCATAGGGCTCAGTTTCCCTGTGGGGTTAAAATTATTCCATGGTGATATTGGTTACCTTTGACTTATGACTATCCACCCTAATACAGTTTATTGATCCAAACTTAATAAAAATACAATGTCAAACCAATACTGGATTAAATCCAGGAATTAAGGTTTATGGGAAATTGTAATTAGAAGTTACTCAGTTCAACCCTTGTTCTGTTGCAATGGTGTAGAGTAGCCTTATATATTGTCTTCATGAGCCTCAGCTATTTTTCTCCAAGTTATAAGGTTAGTTCAGACTAGTGACCGTAATTTGAATTTAGGATCTATCACACATTTGAGGAAAGCAAAAACATTCAATCCTTTTTTTTATGAAACATGTTTCATAAAATAAGCCATGTTCAGAAAAGGTAACATGTCTTCTAATGTATGTAGATGCTAGACCTAAATGATAAACATATATGTAAACACATATAAGATTGTATCTATCTATTTATCTATCTATGATCAAACTGAATAAGTACACTGTGGGCAAGATAAGATGGTATGGCGAATGAAGCCTTTTTGATTAATTAACAGGCACTTAACAAAAATGAATATTAAGAAGTTGAAACAGGTCCTGTCTCAAATGTAGGTACTAATTGGAAAGAGGCAGGTGGATGGAGCAGGTGATGGATAACAAACATTTTCAGAGTATTTTTGTAAATGAATAAAAATGGAACAATTGTGCTTGCTCAATTTTGTTTCAAAAGGGGAAAGAGGGAGAGGGAGAATGATGGAGGATTATGATTAAGACATATTACATGCATATCATGCACAAACGTATTATATTAATAACCTCTGTACCAATCATTCAAGCTAATAAAAAACCCTCTAAAAAAGGAAACAGCAAAACTGATGGTTTCTAATTTCATGCTTTAGATACTTACTTGGAATTATCTGAATGGCTAGAGTGAGGGATATGTTCTTTATAGAAGTTACTCTTCATGACTTGATAAATTTCGAAAAGCTAACCTACCTTGCTCAGATTTATTTTCTTTATCATGAGAATTATGCTTCCTATTATCCAGTTGAACACCAAATGCACTCCCCAGAGAAGTTGATGTTTTGGGATAAGAAACTTCCATCACATTGACATGGCAGTTGGTAGGGCAGAAATCACTGCTGTGCAGTGGAGAGATTTTAGATTTGGCCTGTTTAAAGGTGGGCCAGGCTCTATTCTTTAACACTCGAGAGAACTACAAATTAAAGAAAAAATTAAAATCACTTGAGCACATAGTAATAAGTCAGATATTTCACTTGCATCGCCTCTAACAAAAATCACAAGAAAATTAAATCATGCCAACTGGAACAAGGGAAATCAATTATAAGTTGTTAGAAATTAAATGGTTATCTCAGAGTCCAAAGGTTCTTAATAAATCAAAGCCATATAGACTGAAAATGTATAAAATTGCTTTGCAATTCTGATTACAGTTGAGAAACTAAAAAAAGAAATGAAATCCCAGTGAGCACACCACTTCCTAGCACTCAATTCCACAGGCTCCCAGAAGCTGAGAAAGTTTAATAGAGAAACTCCACCCAGAGACCCCAAGGACAAGAAGCAGATCTTTAACAAGGCAAAATAGTAAAACAGGATAGCTTTCAGGTGAAGGGTAGATGAAAAGTGGGATTATATCAGGAATCATCAGAACCAACCAGAGCATATGTCTGAAAGCGAGATACGGCCATGTTGATCTAGATTTGCTGGATGACTATACTTAGCTAATAATCACTGCTGAGCTCTGGGATCAGAATGAGTATAAAGACTGTTTGCACTCTGCTTTTCTGTCAGTCAGTGGAAAGTGACACTCAAATGATTGAGACTTCCACTGCTTCAAAGGGTGCAATGAGTTTCCAATCACATCCATCTGCTCCTTCCCTAGTCCATAAAACTTCCCCAAGTCTGATCCTTACTCAGCATATTTTCTCTCTGAACCTTCTTTCCTTTTCTCCTTAAACTCCTTCTGGCTTTCATACAGTTCCATTCACATACTTATTACTCACTCTCAGCCTTTGTTAAGTGTTTTATAGTATATCTAGAAATTTCCTGCCAAATTTCATCTCTGTATCTTCAGATTCTGGCAACTGAGTTCCTTTCCTGTGTCCAAGATTACGTTTCCTGGTCACTCACTAAATTATAGTACACTATAATCCTCCTTGGAATTATAAAAGATTGCTAATCTCAGTTGGAGATGGCAAACTTTATGAGGATACTAACTAAAAATGTCTTGCGCCCTATCAATAGACATCTCACAGAACTGAACTGAATTGTGTTCTGAAAGCAATGAAAATGACTGCTTTGAGAATACAATTGGCTAACCGTGGGCTATGTATGATGGCCGCAGTAATGAGTAGGTGTACAAATGGTGTACAAATGTGTACAAATCAATTTCTTTTATTAATCTTGGGAAAATAAAGGAATTTGGATGACATTTCTATGTCTTCTTCTTACTTGAAAACTATAAATGTATTCCCACCTTCTTATTCTATTATTATTAGGGTAATAATTACAAAAGCTCATCTCACACACACACACACATACACACACACACACACTTGTATACATACATAATGTATGTTAAACTATTTTCAAGTCACATGCTAGAAACTAGGTAGCTCAATGAATGCTAGCATGTTGTAGGGATCTAAAAGGAAACAAGATGAAATTTAGGAAACTATTAATGAGACCACTCACAAATTTGGTAATAATAAGTAGGGAAAAATCATGAATACCAAAAGAAAATAAGTTAGATATTTCCTGATCCATCTTCCTTACTTTCCTAATATACCACCTTACTAATAAACACATAGGACAGATTCAGAATTTAAAGAAGCCTATGCACATAGAACCTTGAGGGATGCTCCAAATCATAGCATGCATGAATTAAAACTGCAACACATAGACTTAAGAGACACACTCAAATCGTGGGAGACACCTCAGGATGTTAGACAGCCACAAATTCTTTTCCATTGTCAATGTAGAATTAAATCTTAGAGATTCTCCCATGGTGCACAATGACATAGGAATAAATGTCATGCCGTCACAGTACCCATCATTGTAAGAAGTTATGCTTCTCTTACTTTCTTCTCTTTTGATTAGATACCCATCCATTCAAAATAGGAAGAGGGTATCAATCCCAGACCTGTGCTAAGTGCCAGAAGTATAACTCTTGTGTCTTGGAGGGAGCCCCTTGCCTTCATGCTCTAGGAGGGACATAGGTTAAAAGTGATATAATAGTCTTGTTAGGTATAACAATCATATCATTGTAATTATATGTACCAGATGTATAAAATATGCAGTTATACCTTTATATCATATATATATATATATATATATATATATATATATATGCCAGGTAATTAGAAATGTTGTTAAGTGCTAATAGTTAAGAGGAGCATGTAATAAAGAGCTACTAGTATGATCACAGATAGTGAGGATAAGAACGACATTCTAAGGGGGACCTCTCAGAACTATTATCTCAACAAAAACCTCTGTGAACACAGTATGGCCCCACCTTTGAATGCTTGGGAGAAGTGTTTGGTCACCACCTATCCAAATGTATGTGAGCTAGTAAGACTCAACGAGAAACCTTTCCTACCAAGAGCCTCTCCTGAGAAGAAAACAGCCCTGTCTAACATCCTGAGGTGTCTCCCACGATTTGAGTGTATCTCTCAAGTCTATGTGTTGCAGTTTTAATTCATGCATGCTATGATTTGGAGCATCTCTCAAGGGTCTATGTGGTTAAAGGCCTGGTCTCTAGATGACACTTTCCCGAAGTGGTAGAATTTTTTGGAAGTGGAGCAGGCCGGGTAGAAGGCCTTTATCTCTGTTTCCTGTTTGGTGATATAAACTCTTTCACCTCACTCACTGATTATCGGGTTGATGGATTCTTGAGGATGTGGCTTGATTATAAAAACAAACCTCTTTTCGTACTTGATGGCTCATATGTGATGGATGCCCTTTATCATTTAGTGACAAAGCAGGAAGGTTAGCAGATAGTGATTAGATGTAGCCATCCAATCTTTAACTTCCCGGTCTCCAGAATTGCAAGCTGAAGACATGAGCTCATAATTACCCAGTCAGTATTGCTTAGTTATAACATCAGAATTCAGACGAAGGCAAGCAAGCATCCTCAGGTGAAGGAGGAGGCAGCAAGAGCACTCTCTCAGCCACAAGTACTACAACATCCTGGATACATTTCGAAGATCAAAACTGTGCTCCAAGCCAGCATGCTGGTACTCAGTTTGTAAGGAGTTCCTGTAATAAAATCTTAAAACAATAATGGTAATGGCCTTAGGTATTGAGATACTGACTGTGAGACCTGCGTGGGAAGGCTGATTGTGCCATGCATAAGTGCCATGAAAACATCAACCAGCCTATCTGTTTTTAGAGAACATCAAACGAAACACCAAATTCACTAATATGCTTTGAGAAAATTCCCTCAGGGAAATAGAGGAGCTCCTCTTCTCAAGTGAAAATTGCAATTTTGCAATGAAGACATGTATAGGGTAAATGGTCAGGTGAACTGGAAGGAAAAGCTGTGGACTTAATATGGTATAGCCTACCTAACATAAACGTACCATCATAGCTTTCACTATCAGTTGTGGATGTCCCTCAGTACCTGCACAGGACTGGTTCTAGGAGACCTCAGAGAAGCCAACAGGCAAGGATGCTCACATGCCTAATATGTTGTAGTATTTGTAGAGAACCTATATCTATCTATATCTATCTAGCTTTCTAGCTATCTATATCTATCTATCTGTCTGCTATATAAATGCTTTGCAAATATTTTTACATCATTGTTTTTATTTTTTCAGATTTGCTTAAATCTGCAGTGATTGAATCTGTGGGTACAGCACCCACAGATACATAGAAACAGCTCTATTTAACAAGTGGCCTCAGTATACTACTCTTAGGGATGTGGAGAAACATCAGTAAAATTGGGTGGATTTGGGGTCATAGCTAAACAGATAGAATGTTTACTTTGCACGCAGGAGGCCCTAGGTTTAATACTTAGCCCCAAGATCAATAAACCAACACACCTTAGAGATGGAACTTCAAGTTTTTAATGTATTAGGAGCTAACTCATGAATCAATGACCTTGGATATACATTTAAATCTAGTTATAGTCACTTGACTAAAAACCAGAAATAAAACAAAGGCAAGCTATTATTGTGTACATGATCTCCCACTGAAATTAAATGTCAAACTCTGACATGGACTTACACTTTGTATTCAAGGTTTTGTACATCGTTTTCGAAATCCATGTTATAATTTAAGGTCTATATGGAATTAACAAGTAAAGCCACTTGGAATATTCAAGATAAGGCTTCCAAATTTTCCACATAATATTTTTTCTTAGATGTTTACATATGATTCCCAATATCTAATTAAATCCAATTATGGAATTACTCTACATCAGAGAGATGATTCCAGAATTAAGAGATGTTCTTAGGGAAATTTCACAGAGGATGTTATCCAAAACAAGGCACAGTGTCACATTCAAATCAACTCTCTATCCCGCTCAGCTGAGAATAAATACTTGCTTGGGATTCGTCTAAGTCTCCAGTAAAGTGCACCTAGCCTCCAACATGGACCAAACACACCTATGGTCTGCACAGCTGACCAGGAAATCTATTGCAATAAATATTACTACAGAATGTATGTAGAAACTACAGAAATCAACTCATTCTTAATTTATTTTTTGCCGGTCGTGGGGCTTGAACTCTGGGCTTGGGTGCTGTCCCTCAGCTCTTCAGCTCAAGGCGAGCGCTCTAACAGTTGAGCCACAGCACCACTTCCTCATTCCTATTTTTAAGACCTCAAATTTTAGAACCAAAATAAAACAAAGCCAGAGTCCCTCAGAGTTTAGTTTCTATGGACACATTTTTATTTCACAAAGAGGAAAGTGTTGAAGCTTTCCTTGGAAAGAAAAATAAGTTGCTAATAATTGGTAAAAAGAAATATGTGGAAACCTAAAAATCAATGTGCATGAATGCTATGGTTTCTGTTGTCATAATTTGACATATATATTGAAGTAAGCTTATATAACCTCTTATTGCTTTAGGTAGCTACATCTTATTAATAATGAAAAGGTCCCTGAAATATTTTCTTGATAACCTTCTCTATTGAGAAGACAGTCAACTATTTTAGGTATATTTATGGTTAAGTGACATAGTGACAAAGATAGCTTTAAAA